TACGCCGGCAAATACGGTAATCTAATGTGGAGTTTTTGGTTTGTTAATTGTTTGAAGATTTGTAAGCATTTCTGAAGCACTTAAACTTGCAGGAGACTTTTCTGAACAATAATCTAGTGTGGCCTGTGCTGTCCTTAATTCATCGACCATCTACCCTTTTTCCCCCCAAAAACCCACTGAGAAGTATATGACAATTCCCTAACCATGTTGTAGAGTGCCTCTTAGTATACCTGAGAATCAGTAAATTGGTTTTCTTCTCTACTCTAAATCCCTTTTGTTTCCAGTGAAGCTTATTTGTTTTGTTTTGATCTTACCCTTAGATGGTCCTTGTTTGCCATCACTTGTGTAGGGATTGTTTTTATTCTTAACGAAATCTCAAGACTTTGAGTCTCTCACTGGACCTATATTTTTATATAGGCAAGACACCTACTTTCTCCATCAGGCTGTTTCTGCAATCTTGCTATTATCTTTGTAGTTTATCCTTATTGTAGCTTTGAGAAGCCACCTAATGCTGCTCCCTTCTTCTGTTTACTCCAGGCCTGTGACAACCACGATTAAAGAAAGGTGAAAGTCTCAAGGCATAGTCCCTCAAAAGTGGAAAAAAATTCTGGTTCACTGCCCCCTGCTGGGCATGTCTGGCTCTGCCTTGCTCAGTTTGTGTGCATTGTCTCAAGTCATATGACAGGATGGGAAGCTTGTTGGGAAACCTCCATTTTTATCCCAGTTCTGTGACCTACAAACTAGGTAGCCATGAACTAGTGTTATATCTTATTTATAAAAGTGGATAATATACCTCATCCCCATAAAGAAGGTAGTGTGGGTGAAGTACCTAGCTTGGTGCCTGGCTCATATTAGATACACAGTTAATGATAATGATTTTTTGAGAGTTTGTTGAAATTATCGAAGAGTAGAAAGCATACCAGACAGCCAATATCTGACTGACTTTGGAGTATAGAGAAGTATCAATCCTGCAATATCAATAAACCAATAGTCTTTTAAGTCCCCTTCTCTCCTTCTCTTCCTTTTCAAAAGGGGAGAGTGCACCGAAACCTTACGGAATCGGATCAGAGAATTGGAGGCAGAGGGTAAGAAGCTCACAATGGACATGAAGGTGAAAGAAGACCAGCTCAGAGAACTAGAGCTGAAAGTCCAGGTAACGGGAGGACCAAAGGCTTTCTCGTTCTTGAATTCCTCTTCTGCGTTGATTGGTGGCCGGTGATACAGTGTGGAGATGGTGCTTTTTGATACAGGCAAATCCCATTGCATCTGCAAAGCTCTGTGACCAGAGGAAGCTCTAACCTTGCCCAGCTCATTGATGTCATATTTAACTTAGTCAGATTCTAATACAAGCCAGAAATGTTGATGGTCCTTTGACATGTTTTATACCAGAATTTGAATTACTGTAGATTCATTTTATTTTTTCTAGGTTATAGGCCAGATTAGTGTCCTTTGGGATTTATACATCTCTTACCAGCCCCCACCGTCTCTCCATCCCCAGGGAATTGACCATTCTGGTTGCTCTGAGCTTTTCCAGATTGCAGTTCTGAGCAGTACATTGGGAGGAAAGCTGCCAGTGCTGTGAACGTAGCCAGTTTTGGGAGCCATGTGTACTGTGGCAAAGTATTTGGCACTGGCACTTCAAGGGAACATTTAAAATGAATGTCATATATTATAAAGTTACAGTAATTGTTATAAAGTTACAGTAATTTTTATAAAGTTACAGTAATTGTTATAAAGTTACAGTAATTGTTTATAAAGTTACAGTAATGTGACTCATGTTCAGTAAAGGTAGCATCAGAAATGGATGGGAATGGTGAGGAAAACAATAAAATTAGAAGGTCATCTCCATCCTATACAAAAAGAAATTCCAGATGAAGAGTTGAATGCAGAAATAAAAAGACATTTTATTTTAAACTAGGTGAAAATATAGTAGAATTTCTTTAATCTTGAAACAGGGGAAGACTTTCTAAACAAAAATAATGGAAGAGGTAATGGAAGGAGACTAAACTTTGGGTGATGAGCATGCAATATAGAGATGATGTGTTATAATACTGAAACTTATATAATCTTGTTAACCAATGTCAGTCACCCCAAAATTAAATAAGTTAAAAATTACAGTGCAGTCAAAAATATAATGGAAGAAATCACAAAGCAGAAAATATAAATTAGAATAATCAACTGGGGGAGTATAGATATTGCATCAAATATAAATAAGGAATTAATACTCTCGATATATAAATAATTCATAAAAATTGCTAAGCTCAAATATACAGAAAAATAGGCAAAGGATACCAACAGTTAATTCACAGCAGAACTAGAAATGGCTGATAACATATTATTATATCCTTATTAATCATAAGACATAGGTTAAAATTGAGTATCATTTATCTCCTGTGAAATTAGCAAAGAATTTTAAGTGATAATATCAATCTGAGTGAGCCTGCAATGAAATAGGCCTCATACATTGCTGGGGAAGTGTAATTTTCTGGAAAGGGTCATGTACTTTTTAAGTATTTTCCTTATTGATGATATATATACAGAGATGTTCATCATGGTGGTAATATAAATGCAAAAAAAAGGAAACATCTTAACAATAGGTGATTCATTTAATAAATTATGGTACATATATATGTGGGAGTGTTATGCAGCCATTAAGAATTACATTTTCAAAGAACATTTGCGATTATATAAGTTTTTTTTTAATTATACAAAACTGAACACATACTGTTACCTCACTTATGTTAAAAGATACACATGTGCTTAAAAGACAAATAATATGTATCAAATTTTCACAGTGTTGGGATTTTGGGTGATTTTCATTTTCCTCTTTGAACTTTAATATATTTTAAAATTCTCTATAATGCGTGTGGATATCTCTTTTAAAATGAAGAAATTAAAATATCTCTATACATATACTTATTGGTTACATTACCAGATGTTTTAAGTGGACTTATTCTGCAGTGTGCCCTATTAAAATAATTAACATTTTTACAATTGTTAGTGCAAATTGAGAGTAGAATTTTGGCAAATCTGATTACTGTATTACAGCAACATTTGCAACTGGAAGCAAAGAAAACATTCTTTTTGGTTCTGAATTAAGCTTGTAAGAAAGTATCTTGTTTGGAGACAAAAAAACCCAACATAGTCAGATTTATCTAAAATGTTTTTGTATGTGCACATCACCATACAAATACATTTGCCCTCTAAGTGGTGGGTCTAAACCAGCCATGGGCAAACTACTGCCCACGGGCCGGATTCGGCCTGTTTGAAATGAATAAAACTAAAAAAAGAAAAGACCGTTCCCTTTTATGTAATGATGTTTACTTTGAATTTAGTTCACACAAACACTCCATCCATGCTTTTGTTCCGGCCCTCCGGTCCAGTTTAAGAACCCATTGTGGCCCTCGAGTCAAAAAGTTTGCCCACCCCTGGTCTAAACCCATAGAATGCTAGCATTCTGTGTTCTAGGGGCCAGGTCAATAATAGCGGGATTTTATTTGTGATTTCAAGCTAATTTGTAGACCGATGCCAAAACTATCTTGTAACATTGCTGCTTTGATGATATTGATAGGAGCTTCGGAAGTATAAGGAAAATGAGAAGGACACGGAGGTGTTAATGTCAGCTCTCTCCGCCATGCAAGATAAAACACAGCACCTGGAGAACAGCCTGAGCGCAGAAACGAGGATCAAGCTCGACCTGTTCTCCGCACTGGGGGACGCCAAGCGGCAGCTCGAGATTGCCCAAGGTAGGAGGACAGCGGGCCCCTGGGGGAGGTGGTGTGGCTGAGCATGCTCAAGGGCGAGAGAGCATATCCGTTTTCTCCTTAATGGTTTCAGCGCCCAGCATACAGTTTTGCTGAATTAGAGAACTGCAGAGTCGCTCAGAGGTGCTGGTGCAGCAGTACTTACAGGGTCTGTGGGGACATGGAGAGAGGCGGGACGAAGCCAGTCTGGGGAGTCAGAGGGCTCAGGGAAGCTGATGTCTGAGCTGGGTCTTGAATGATGAGAAAGAGTTAGCCCAGTGAAGAAGCAGTAGAGCGGAGTGAGGACCAGAGAGGCATATAACAGAAGCAGCAGCTTGAGCGAGGCCAGGGAAGCTAGGAGGCCTGATGTGTTCAGAGCTGCAGCTGGCTGTGCTTGGCTGGAGAAGGGTACAGTCGAAGTGGTGAGAGGAGAGTCTGGAGAACTGGCCGTTCACTCAGCAGGTATTTATTAAGACCTACTGTGTGCCAGGCATTGTGAGAATCCCTGAGGGACCAGACAGTATCAAACATTTTGGTCTTAGGGACCCCTTTACACTCTTAAAAGCATTGAGTACCCCAAAGATGTTTTTACAAAAACTGGGTTATAGCTATCAACATTTATCTATTAGAAATGAAAAGTTCAAACATGTATTTCTTTATTTATTTTAAAATAACATAAACATATTACTTGTTAACATAAACATTTTTATGAAAAATAACTTTTCAAAAATTGTAATGAGAAAAGTGACATTGTTTTACATTTAGCAGATCTCTCGTTTCTGGCTTAATGAAGGATAGTTCCATTCCCATCTCTTCCTACATTCAGTCTGTTGTAATTTTACTTGCCATGTTGTTTCTGGAAGACTTTTCTGTGTCCATGAGGGAATGAGTGTGAAGAAGGCCAGTCATGCCTTAGTGCGATGGACCCTGTGGATCCTGTGAGAGGGCAAGCCACGCAGCAAGGCCAGGCCTACTGCCCTCAGATAGAGGAGAGGACGTGAAAGGCGAGAGGAGGTACTGGGTGGCTTCATGAGGGAGGGGACTCAGCTTTGAAGGGTGACTTCTGAGTGCGGAGAACGGCAGGGAAGAACATTGCTACCTGAGGGAGTAGTGTAAGCAAAGGAAAGAAAGTGTTGGGAATGTCCAGGTGAGCAGACCAGTGACCTCAAGGTGGGGGGCCTGGCAGAAGAGAGGGGGAGATCAGGAGGACCATGAGTGAAGCCTCCTAGAGAACATAGTTCCCTGATTTTCATGGGGGGGGGGGGGGAGGGGGTGGTTTTTTTGTTGTTGTTTTGGAAGTCTCTTTCCAGTAGCTGTGTGAAAGATGGATTGGAAAGACAGTGGAGGCAGGGAGGTCATTTAGGAGGCTACCGCTGTCCTAGCTAAGAGTGATGAGTCGGGGAAGCAGGATGTCCAGACAGGAGGGAAGGATAAAGGTGCCAGAACCAAGAAGGAAGAGCAGGAAGGTGTGAGGAGTGAAAAGAGAGAGTGAGTTTGGTTTGGGATGTTTCCATGTGGAGTTGCTTCCTGGACACCCAGGTAAAGAGAATTCATCAGTTATTGGGAGTTTGGGGCCTGAACTACAGAGAAAGGACCAAAACCCCTGTGGGTGGGGGGTGGGATATAGAAGCTACGAGAAGTTAGCAAAGCCATAATAGTGGCTTGGAATGGCCCAGCTGGTAGAGCAAAAAGAGAAGGGAGCTGAGGATCGGGCTTATTAATCTGTGGACTCAGGGAAAGCATTTAAAAAGAAGGTTCCAGGATCCTGCTTTAAGGCTGAACTTCTGAGCATACACTGGCTTTTTGCCTGCTTGGCCCAGCTCCCTGGGAAGTGGCCACTTCTCTCTGCAGCATCCCGTTTACTCCGATTTGCCAGCGAGGAAGAGATTTCCCCCTGCAGTGAAGCAGCACCTGGTCTCCAAGTACTGAGGGGAGCTTGGCCTGTCAGCCCAGGAATTCTTGTAAAGCAACAGAGAAGCAGAGAGAAATGTCTTTTTCAAAAGCTCTGGGAATGTTTTCATATTACTGATTAAAGACATCAAATTTAAATCTGTGTAGAAAAAAAGATCCAGTGGCTCATTTATCAGATGCCGTGGGAATTTTATCCATCTGAGGCTAATGGTGTTAAAAGGGAAGGAGGGGTTGTGCTTACTTGAAGCTGAGGAGACATGAAGGAAGTCCCAGGGAGCAGGTTCTTTCCATGGCTCTTTGCTGCTGCCTTTCCCACTACTTCCCTTCACTGTCATGCTCAGAATATTCTAATAAGAACCCAACTTTGTAATTCAAATCAAACCCCTGTGTTGCTTTTCTCCTTCCTACTATCTATATCATTTGATTCATCCTGGTTTCAAAATGACCTTCATCTCTGCTACGTCCTTTTAAAAACTATGCCACCAAGGGCAGCTACATTTTAAATATGTCACCATCTTCCGCAGGACTCATGAGTGCAACTCAAATGCAACCTCCTCCTTTTCTGAGCATTTAAATTTCTGAAGTGCTGTTCCTAAGTGTTCTTCCTCTAGTGGACCAGGGAGCTTCAAAGAATGATGGAAATTGCATGGGCTTTGGAACGAAGGGTCCTGGGTTGACATCCTGCTCCACCTCTTAATAACTGGGCAGGATGCATAACTTGCAGAGCCTCAGCTTTGTCCTGGGCTGGGCACGAGGGATACTGTAATGAGAGAGAATAAAGTAGATAGTCCCTGTCCTCATGGCGCTCATGGCCCAGTGGAGAGATGACGAACACACGTCATCACCTAAGTGAACAGTTGCAAGAGAGATGGAAGAATGTGTAGGCAGGCGTGCAGACTCGAGCCAGACTGCATAGATTTGAATCCTGGCTCTGTACTCAACCTCTGTATGCCTGTTTCCTCATCTATAAAATGGATGATGCTGATAATAATTTCTTCCTGATAGGGTTGTTGTGATAAATAAATGAGTTTGTATGTGGGAGTACTTAGAACAGTGTCTGGCACATACATGTTAGCTAATATAATATTACTAGAGGCCCAATGCATGAATTCATGCACCAGCGGTGTCCCTTGGCCTGGCCTGTGCGATCCGCCGAAACCGGCTCTCCAACACCCCCTGAGGGCTCCTGAATTGTAAGAGAGGGCGCAGACCAGGCCGAGGGACCCCATCAGTGCACGGGGCTGGGGAGGGACACGGGCTGTTGGCCAGCTGGGAAGGGACCGCAGGAGGGCTCCAGGGCATGTCTGGCCTATCTCGCTCTGTCCTGATCAACTGGACCCCAGCATCAAGCTAAACTACCATTCAGAGTGTCTGCCCCCTGGTGGTCAGTGTCTGTCATAGCAACTGGTTGACTGGTCAACTGTCTGCCCCCTGGTGGTCAGTGCACGTCATAGCAAGTGGTTGAGCAGCCTTAGCATATCATTAGCATATTATGCTTTGATTGGTTAAACAGATGATCAGAGACTTAGCATATTAGGTTTTTATTATATAGGGTCATTATTACAAAAAGTAAAGTGACAGAAAGAAAAATTTAGAGTGTGTTGAGAATCTATGAATCGAGGGTATAGGGTCTGATTTAAATGGGGAAAATTAGGGAAAGCTTTGTAAGGAAGTAGAAATAGAAATCCCAGGAGTTAACGCAGAGAGAGCAAGGGAAATAGCCCTGAGGCAGGCATCGCTGCTTGGATGAGAAACTAAGTGTAGCGAGGGAGGGTGTCAAAGGCTCAGCCCATCGCAAACTGGGCAATCAGTTTGAGTCACTTGAGAGCCCCCAGCAGCAGCCAGAGCCAGAGCTCCATTTATTTTCTATATGAGGACCTGGGGCAGTTCTGAGGCCTTAGTTCTGTATTTCTTGGTCTGACACCCAGAGATCGTCCACCCTCCCAGAAAAATATTGCAGCTCAAGAGGGAGAGCCATAGTTTAAATCATTCCCTCTTAGGCTGCCATTGGTGACTGCCATGCTCAAAACATGGCTCCTGGAAATGAACCTCTTTGCTTAGTCGCACCTACATAGAGGGAATCCCTTTTTACTGTGAAACATGGCCCTTGGGCCAGATCTGGCTGCTGCCTGTTCTTGTATCATCCACTGGCTAAGAACGGTTTCTATATTCTTCCATGGTTTAAAAAAACACACGCAAACATGACAAAGACAGTATGTGGCTCACACACCTGAAATATGTACTATTTGGCCCTTTACAGGAAAGTTTGCCTGCCCTTGCAAACCCTTACATCAAAGCGGAGTCACACCCACTTGGGGCTGGCCTAGGAGGGCATTGTGTTGGCTTAGCCCTCCCTTCCCACTAATGTTGGGTCTTTGATCTTCCAGGACAAATTCTTCAGAAAGACCAGGAAATCAAGGACCTAAAACAGAAGATAGCCGAAGTCATGGCCGTCATGCCCAGCATAACGTACAGTGCCGCCACCAGCCCCCTGAGCCCGGTTTCCCCCCACTACTCTTCCAAATTTGTGGAGACCAGCCCCTCTGGACTCGACCCCAACGCCTCTGTTTACCAGCCCATGAAGAAGTGAAGACCAGCTGTGTTTCACCCAACAGTGTGGTCACCAGAAGGCATTGCGAAGAAGCATCTCTGGCAGTCAAGATAACAAAAAGTTTATATTGTATTTTGTGGGACTGTATATGTTGTCATTTTTAAAAAGGGGGGAAGATAACTCCACATCTGATTAGAACTGCCCATCAGTTTTTCTTGTAAATTTTTAGAAGACCTCACAGAACTTTGCAGTTTATTTTTCTCGGCCAATGCATTAAAACATTCTTGGATTTCAAGTAGCCAATTTTGCCTTTTATGTAATCTTACAGTTTCCTCTTGAAGAAAGATAAAAAGGGGGTTTTGCTTCTCAGTCCTCTATTTTTGTTTTGTTTCCTTCTAAAATAAGCAAAACCTGCACATTGGATCCATGTGGGGTGATAATGAAAACTTTGTTTTTAAGAGTGAAAGAGTTAAATAACCTAACACAGTTTTGATTGTATAGTTGAATTCAAAAAGGTGATTCTTGATATGACAGAAAACAGCATTTGATTACCCCTGTAAGGACAACAAATTGA